TTCCATATGTTTGCACCAGGTTAATCTTGGCCGTCCCCTGGGCCTTTTGCCGGTCGGATTTGCAAGGAAGTCTTTGGAATTATGAAACGGAATTTACCGATATGAAGGACGTTACATTGGTTTCACAAGAAAGAAAACGACAATGGTCATGTCGTGCCGCATGTCTGACGAATGATCGATGGACTTCGACAGTGACGGATTGGTGCCTACCCGAAGGGTTTCAACGGTTCAATGAAAAACCTGGGTTCAGATGAGACATTGAAGCTTGTAGCGACAAGTCAGGCTCACGTGTTAGCTCTCCTAAGCCGATCAACTGAATCTTTTCTGAAGACGACATTTCAGACAGTAGTCCATAATGAAAGAGAGAGCTGGAAAATGGTAGAATCTTAACGCTCCATATGAAATCATCGAAGTTAAGTATACACATAAAATACAGTACTTTAAAACTTGATTAAAACGCGAGGCTGCAGGGGGCACTTGTAACCTAGTTACACTCAAATTTGACACTTTAAATTTACAGCATTAATGTAAACTTCAAGCTTTCGCGCGACATCGACGCCCGTCAAAATTTAACCCTATAAATCGTCGCCTTCACTACACAAAAGATTACCATGCACTTGCTGGTGAAGTGTTAAGTCACTGTTAGCAGTTGTAACGGTCTGCATGGTGCTACTAACCCTTCGTTGTACGCATTGACGTGTTTTTTGTCTGGCTATCGACCACTGAATCACAGTAAGGGATGTGGTTATTCATAATCATACTTCTAATAATTATCCTGCTATGGTTTTACCACAACCAGCAGTTGAGCGAAGGTAAACCCGGAATTCCGGCGATTCAAATGCTACTAGACGCGATTGGTGAAACATCGATACAACAACGACCTAAACATGGGGAGAAAGCCGTCAGAGAAGCACAAAAAATGGAAGAGCCAGAAAAACTCGTCACAAATAAAATTCCCTCGAGGGACCAATTGAAAGCCAAATTGGAACCGAGGAAGGAGAAAAAGCAAAAAGTTCGCCAGGTTTTCAAGAGAGCGACGTCCCCGGTGAAAGCATTGAAAAAGGAACGTAAAGAGGTGGAAGCGAAAGTGTCAACGTCGGGAAGAATCAAATCTGAAATTGAAACGAGCGATGTCACAGCGAGCCAAAGGAATAAACTGAAAACGAAGGAAGTTTCAGTCCAGAAGAAAGCAGAGCCGAAAATGAGGTCTGAGGTAGGTATGAAAAGGCGTCTAGTGAAGAAGCTGAAACGAAAAGAAAAGAAGGAGATGCCTGAGCATCTAATTCAGAGGCCTTCAGAAAAAGTTGACAAAAAGAAGGTTCTTGAAGAGAAACAAGCCGAAGTGTCACTAAGCACTGCAAGGGCTTCAGCTCCCGCAGAGACAGCGTCCCAAAGGCTTCCTGATCGCAAAAAGAAATTACTGAAGATCAAATCATTGAAAAAATCTCTGAAAGCACAGCTGTCCAAGAAAACCGCATCAGACCGGTTGTCAAAGTCAGAGAAAAGTAGTCAGCCGTCACTGTTGGCCGAGAAAGCGCCTTCTGCGCTTGCCAAACTTGAGAAAATCAAAAAAGAAAAACACGAAGAAAAAAAGAAGCATGAAGAAAGGACGAAAAGCGAAAAGGAGCAAAAGAGCGCAGCTGCCTTGGCAGCTGCAAAGGCTCCATCACAAACGTCGCTTGTTGGCAAAGAATCTGCCGAACACAAAAAGAAATTAGTGAAAATCAAATCTTTCAAGAAGCATATCTCGAAAAAACACATTCCAGATCACGTGGCAAAGTCGGAAACTAAACCAGGGACAAACGGTCAGCATTTGTTGTCAGCCAAGCCAACGCCTTCCATGCCAGAAAAGCTGGAGAAGATCAAGAAAGAGAAGCACGTGGAGAAAGATCAACTTCAAAGGGAAATGGCGGCAAGGGATTCAAAGAGTGCCACCGCCTCGGCTACTGCAGAGGCGTCATATCGAAAAGCACTTGCTGAAAAATCGGAGACTCGTGAACACAAGAAACTAATGAAAATGAAATCTTTTAAAAAGTCCTTCAAAAAACAGCTGGATAAAAGGACAGGATCTTATGACGTGGCCAAGGCGGAAAAGAGGAGTCAGCAGTCGTCGTTAGCCAAAATGACACCATCTACACCAGCCAAATTTGGGAAGATCATAAAAGACAAGACAAAGCACAATGGTGATGTTGAACTGTCATCCAAAAAGAATCATAAGAATCATACCGCTCCTGCAAAACGTGAGGAAAAAGAAACGCCCAATGTGTTGGAAGGGTCTAAACAACAGGAACGACAAGAGTTACAGAGACAGTCGATGTTCAAGGGACAAAATGGAGGGTTGCCCAAAACTGAGGTTCACGATAATGCTGCTGCAAAAACGGAGTCAGAGGAAAATGTTCAAGACGTCGGAAAGGTCGTCACCTCGCGAAAGGAAAATGGTAGAAGTTCGGTTGGCCCGCCGCGTAAAGAGCATGTAAAAATGATTCCCGTACGTAGGTTAATCGAATCGATCGCGAAGCGGCAACCTAAGAGTAATTCCAGTCAAGCAGAGGGCAAAGATGACAAACTAGCAAATCAGAATGAGGATTTAGGTAACGTGAAAGACGAACTTCAAAAGATTCTAAAAGGAGAGGAGAGAAGACGGAATTGAGGATTGTAAAATGGTCATGATGCCAAAGAAGATTCCGACTATTTCTATACAATCTGAAATTGTCATCACCGTCATCAAATCCATCTAGTTTTCCGAAAATCTTTGATCTTGGCGTTGGCTTAGTGAAGATGATGGTTCTGCTGTACTTTCATTACCATTCAGTATTACATGAATCGCAGTACTTCGTAGCGAATGCACATGATTTTCTGGAATATGCAAGTTTCTGAAGTACCTCCTTCGCAAACATGTACTTGACTCTATTCTACTAAAACTTGGTTTTGCCAAAGCCAAACTTTTCTATACAAGTCCTGAATACACTGTTTTCAAACAAAATCTGGCTCAGCACTCTGCATTCAAGTTTAGATATTAAAAATTATATTTATTTCGTGGTTAAGATGTTGTTCTTTTGCCATTCGACAATACGCTTAATACGCAGGACACGATGGACGACACTAATTGTCAAAAATAATCACAGAAGTATAAGTCGTATACGAAAGGTGTATGATTGACAGAATGCGACTGTCAACCCGGTATTCTGGAGTCTTTTTCCATTCATTCTAGCTGTGACACTCGTTTAGTCTGACGAACATAATTTCTGTTGACAATGAGGGAATAAGCATCAGGTTGTTGAATAAAGAATCGTTATACATGATGAGTTTTCAAACCGACTCTGTAACGGAGGTACGAGCTCGTTTCAGGTGATTGACAGCAGGAGTGTCTTCTGCTTGCTTCTCCAAAAGGATTGTCACTCAAAATATCGTGTACTCTTTTCAAAATAATGTGCTGTTTTTATTTGTGTACAGTAAACATGGTGATACTGCTGGTTTGTGGAAACGAAAGGCGTCGTTGAGTACAGTAATTAAATCGTTCTTTTCAATTGTTACCTTGAACATGGATTGGGAACCGAAAGTCCAAACAAGCAACGAATCGATACCCTCATATGTAACTCAGAGGAAGCCAACGTAATAAATTTTCTGTTTTGCAGAACAGGGTTAAGCCGACTATTCGGACCCCTGGTGATTTCAGATTTACAGTTCCCCTATAAGCTGAATACCGGGTGCCTCCATGCCCCTAAACACAGCTAAACACACCTATAGAACTGGGGAACAACGCTGTGCAGAATTGACCTGAATACCTGAACTTAAAGATTTTCTTAAGTACAAAAGTTTATTGCTTGAACGAGAATGTCACATATCTTTGCACTGGCTTTCAATTGTAAAATACCATGAAGACGTGGCATGGTTAGATTCCTGGCTCCGAGGAAACTGTAAACAATGGGTGAGCAGTATGTCACGAAATATAATCTTAGGCGTCAGTTATGCCCCATTTAGCATACTCTAGCCTACTTTGATGTTTATGCAGTAGCGTAAAAGAAGTACCAGTCTCTTAAACACTTGCGGACAAAGCGATGCGACGTGTTCTGGCACCGCAGATGATAAAATATCATGAGCAATTGTATGTTCAAATCACCCCTGCGTTCACGGTGAGGTGCAATGCTCTCAAATACGGTCTGATATGAGGCAGGCGCCGTTTAAATCAGGATAAACTGGATTATGCGCTTCTCAAGCTCATAGCCGGAATGAAGAAAATTAAAAATAGGGCAAAATGGTAGGATCATCTATGAAATACAAATTTTCAGAACCGTGCGGTGCTCTGGGCCCGCAGATTAAACCTCCAAGCGAAGCATCGCCAGAATGCGGCTAATCAGCATTAGTCTGTCTTACGCTGGTGACCATTTAAATGAAAACATCAGCAACGGATGTTTCTCATAGGACGGGCATCCATGAATAAAGTAACTGTCTATATGATTCCCTCGGATTGTTATCTTTCATTTCTCTGGGCTTCATTTACTTTCTCAACTACATGGGACAAATATCGAGATTCATCTCTTGGCCATGAGGTAGTCCAAGAAATGTTTTATGAGTATTTTAAGATTGAGAATCGAGTGACATGTCATGAAGTGCTAATCAGCAATTACCTCCACCAAAAACGGAATGTTCCTATGTAGGAATCCTACGTTGCTCTCAGTTTCATACAAGGCCATTCAAATAGACACAGCAGCATGAGATTTGAACCTTTGTCTGTACTTGATATGCCCTGCATCATTTTAGCGCCTAGATCAATGGCATAGTGATCATCATAGAGCTTCAGGAGTGGACAGAGTGGACATTCAGTTGCGTTCGCATAATCTCAAAACTGGAGTTCGTGAATGGGAGTGAATTAAAGTAGTGCACAGCTCTTCGAAAGCAAAACGCCAGTGCTATGCGCCATGAAGAACCGTTTCAAAGAAATTATTGACTAACTGTTGTACTGCCTGATTTATGATTTTTAGATTACTTATTGAAAGGGCTAAAAGCATAATTAAAAGATACCGCCTAATTTTCCTGCCGGACATCGTTAATCTTGCTCTGTTCATTTCAGTGGCATAGCCCTAAATTTCAATTGCAGTTTCCATGTTTGTTCGTCCCTCAAAATGAGCTTGATCCTCTGAAGATTTACACATTTGTTCTGTACATGAATCGGATTTTCATACCTCATTTACGGCGTTCCATTGGTTCTAGATGCATAAGGGGATTTTCAGAAAGCCACGGCTCGCCCGGACTTACACGACATAAATCATCTAGTAAACTGCTATCGAAAAGTTTTTCAGTTCCATGGCGATTATCACCTGTCTTTGCTATGTCGTGTTTATAAAGGGAGAGTGAAAAACAAGTGAGGCGCTGGACAACTAGGATTAGAAGCTGATAAACATGATATCGGAAACTTTATTGACTCATAAAGGTGAATATTCAAATGAAGGAGTTATTGAATTAGAGGCAATAAAGGTTGCTTCGGAACCAAACCATAAACCGAAACGTTTCGTGACGAAAGAGATTTTAGCAGGAATGGCACAAATGAAGAAAGTTGATCATAATGCCTCATGATTCTTAGTCCAAAGTCTAAAGAAAACTGGACGATACTTTAATCTGTTGTACAGCGGGTTATAAAGAGAAGAAAGAAGGACTGTTCCGTCATGTTTTGATAATTTCACGAACGGCGAAATTAAATATTTTTCAACTTTTTTAATTTTTCATACTAATTGGGCCGCATTATAGTACATTGCGTTAATAATTATAAATTTAAATTAAACTGGTATGCGGATGCTTTGAATGAATCTAAGGCAATTAATTTTTAGAACATGCCTATATCCCATGGTATACATGTACTGTATACTGTACACTCATGCAATTGGTGCGGTTAACGGATGGGGAGGGGGACTAAATCTGACTCACGCGAAATGCGCGTTACGCAATGGTCTGTGGAACTCAACTCCGACGTAAGACGGTGTCCGTTTTAGCTTGAACGCCTGCAGGGCGTCGATGCCATGCCACACCCTACAGTATTCGATTGAACAAATACTCGTTCCAACGCCAGCTGAGTTTGGCTGACTGCACGATGGTCGCTGGTGCACAGCCAGAAAAGAAACTGCCCAAATTTAGGGTCATGAGTGGTGCATCCACCGGATGGATTGCTCCGTTTTTGTATCAGTGTTTGAGCGTTTTTCATGTCAAAGCAATTTAACACTCTCAACCTTATAACCTTTATATTTCCCAATTTGTCAAAACAAAACAGCTATCACACAATTCGGCTGAAAGATGTGCACGAAGTGAGGCTTGTTCAAGCGGATTTCGGGTTGAAACGTGGCATGTCGTTGAATGCGGTAGGGTTCATCCTTGGACCGCCAGAATCGATCGGCATCGGCTCGTTTCCTGCCGTGGCACCTAAAATAAGTTGGCTTGTTGTAAAGCACAGCGTCTAAATCTGCCAATTAACTTGAACCTTTGTTTTTGTAGTATCCATAGTAGCCATAGCCATATCCGTATCCGGATGGTGGTAGATATCCGTAAGGATAAGCATAGTACGGATAATAGGCGTAATAGCCATACGGCTGAAAAACGTAACTGAATAGACTGATTATCGAATCGTCGTAACCAACAACTATCTGTTAAACAATCGGTTGCTTTTTACTCCTCCACAATTTGGACGCAGCGCAGAGCACCACAATCAAGAATTCACTCAAGCCTCTGTATTCTGCAAGACTGATATTTCTCTAGAGTTTCTTGTCCCAGCCATCTAAACAATGACTCAAAGACTCTTTTATTCCCTTCCATCGCCTGATATTGTTCATCAAACGTTCTAAAGACCCCAACTCGTTTGCCCATAAGTCATTATCTTCTGTCCACTGAACAGATTGCGTAGTGAAGGGATATCGAATGCTTAATAGGGCCCTTGAATTGCCGCTTTCAGATTTTTAATCGATTTTCTGTTCTTAACGGCCCTATCGACCCAAAATTACTACTGCCTTAAGAATGGATCGCTTCAGCATATATGGAAGGTCTTTACGGCGAGTGAGACTTCTCTACTCCTTGTTTCAACCTAGCTGCAGTTACTTGACCTGATCGTTCGATGCTGTTCACAGTGGCAACGTGAAGGCCGATCTAAGGATAGAAATCAATACTCGTACCTTAACGAAATGCAAACCTAGGCGTACGGTACATCATCAGTAGAAAACAGTTCTTACCTGACTGCTGGCCATGACCACTGCTGCTAGGAAGATAAGCAAGGCGTTCATTTTAAACAAGCGGTTGCTCAGGAGATATGCCAAGAAGTTAGACGCTCACACGATCCAAACTGGCCACTACCTACTGTGATCGCTTTTATAGCCACCTGTTAACGGCGGCTTCATTCAGTTCGTTCACTCGATTTAAGCTTGAGCACAATTAAGCAATTTGCAACCATTTCAAAGGCCCTTTCTTTTGACGACTGTTAATGAATGGTTCTTATCGTTGACATGGTTACTTTGTTTCAAATGTTCGCTTAGTGTTCGTGATTGTGAAGCGGTAGCTTTCTAAATGAGGGACGATCACGAGGAAGGAATTTATTTTCCTCCATAGAGACCTAAGGCTACTTCGCCGTGGTGATACCTTGAATGAAACGTAAACAATCTTTGCCTCGAAGGAGACATGAGTTCGCGTGCAAGTGTTAGCAAGTCGTCAAAATAAGCCTATTCATCAGGCAGTGTAAATATTTCTCCTACTCGTGCCCCTGTGCATACGGTTATGAAAGCAGCAACAAATCGTGTCTAACCACAACAACCTTACGTTCCTCACATGACTTTCGAACGACGCATTATTCCAAACGAGTCCATCGCTTTGAACTCTGTTTCGGCGGTACGATTTAAAAATGTCAAAGGAAGAAAAGTTTGTAACCGTTGGAATATCATTCCTCCTTACGCTTTCATGGACCGTTCTGACACCATTCTTTTCATGAGGTTGATGATGAAGCATCACTTTCATTTCGTACTAGGAGTGCCCCATTTCAAAAGTGGAGTCGTCAGCAGTTGTGTGACAAGCAAAGTCCTGTTTTTCCCATTCTATGGTAGTCATTCATTGACCCCGGAAGGAGGTAAGATTGGTTTCACTGACCAAGGTTCGAACCTGGGACCTTTCGGTTCTAAGTCTAAGGCTCTACCGACTGAACAACGCTGCTTTCATGCAACGTGTGATAAATTTCTTGCTCAAGTAAATTAGTATTCGAAGCAAAGATTTCCGTCCCCTGGAATCGAACCTCGCACCTCCGGAATTCAAAGGCATACCTCTTATGCGCCCTTTGCTAGCACTTCCTCATCTTCATGGATGAAAAGCTACCTTCGTCAGTCGAATTCTTAATTTAACTCAGTGTTTTCTGTGGTTCCATTGCCAGCATAATGCCTACAGTTGTGTCGGGATTCAAATTAGGACATTATTCTGATCAGGGGTCCCTGAACAGATGCCATGTAATGGACTCTCTCAGTTCGACAGGGTTGCCTTCTACTCCTTTACTCTTCAATGGATAACAATGCCGTTCAGTTGCATACAAGTGGAGCTACTAAAGACATGTCATTCCTGAAAAGTGGAGTCATCAGTAAACAAAACTGAACTCCTCTCTTTCGTCCTGTTTTTCGGGTTCTCTTAGGCAATCTAAATGACGAGACTGATAACAATTTCTTCTGCATTTTTTTCATTTCATGAATCTAGCACTTTTCTGTTCTTTTGTTCATTCTTTCCATGAGTCATTATCTTCTGTTCGGTACTTCGATGGCGCAACGAGCAGTTCCATCTGGCTCGAGCTTTCGATTAGTATGGCTGCTGACCCCCGCTTCTCCCTCCCGCAAGAGTTCAGAGTATTTATGCTCTATTTCCATCAGATTAAAGTGATAGTTTTACAGACTTCAGCAATAGCTCGCAAGATGTAAGAAATTGAATGACTAGTCAAAAACCACTCCCCCAGAAATAATCTGAGAAAACACCAAAACTACACGTACAAGAAGAAGGAAATGTTGAAGAGCGTCGGCAATGAAGGCAAATCGGACGAAAGATGAGTACCTTGCTTCAGGTTGTATTAAAATGTCCTGTATATAGAAAGTCTCATCGAAAGGTAACGGGCTTCCATGCATCGTTGATGCTAATAATATGGCCAAACGGTTAAAGAAATGCGAACAAAAATTTATCGAAGTTTCTAACCAAATTTAAGAGCTGGAAATTCATGCTTATAATAGAATACAGATTTTGAAAACACCTATCCAGGATTTCGGACGGAGAGGCAGAATGGTAAGCTTTCAATGAACGATATAATGAATAACGGAATTTCTCGCTAGTGGATGCATGCACAAATCTAGGCAATAACAATAATTATTGGAAAATGTAATAATATTGCTTATAAATAGCAACCACTCCGTAAAATGGAACAGTGGTGTAGTGGCGTTAAGTCGTTCTGCTCGACATATGAGGTGGAAGCCTCAATGCCTTAGGTCGGTGTGGCTATGTTGCTAATTATGAACATATTGATTAAGGAAATCGTTCCTTTTGTCGAAAAAGTTGAAGAAAGTGAATGAAGTCGATGAAATGCCATACACTGAACAGTCTGTGGCTCTGATGTGACAATGCTACAATTGACGAAGTCTAGAGTCATTTTATTTAACGCGTAACCTGTTCTGCAACGTGTCTTGATCAGCGTGACAGCTGAGCAAACCTTCAATCAGAATATTAGTTCATGAGGCCTCAACTTTTCTGATCCAGGGAAAAACGATCGACTTATAACTATGGATAATCAATGTTTACCTCAGATATTCGATTTTTTCTACCTTGTGCAGTCGATACCTCCGGATTGCAGTTGCATGTTCTGGAAATCAGGCACCTCGCATTTTCTGATTCTCTACCTTTCGGATAGCACGTTCAAAGTAATAAATTGCTAAGGCTGCGTTTAAGGCTAAGTTTGGCTCTACGTTTTCAACTGATTGAGTAGACCAGCAAAATATCCTGCCCTTCACGGGATTTATTCGGTGCAATCGTACCTTCTCTTGTTTTTAGGTATCCAGCAGACGTCTTCGGTAGGCCATGGCTTCATGGTATTTGAGCACCTGCCCTGTCTGAAGGTCATGTCCCGTCTCAGCGTTAGGTCGAACGAAACTAGGCTTTGGAACGCCTTGTTTTACCACCTTTTACGTACTTCTAGCGTCAACGGAAAACTCTCTCAGTCCAACGATGCCGATATTAGACACGCTGCGTAAGAGCAGTGTTGATGTCATCTGTCAGAGCAATATCTTGATTTTCATAGGATTTATTTGCCGAAATCACACTCTTTGTTGTCCTTTAACTGCCTGGAGGTCATTTTCAGAAGGACCATGGTTTCACGTTATTTGAGTACCCGTAGTACGTTTAGTCTCGAACGCGAATTGAGTTTGGTCCAGCAATGGTCCCTCGAGCACCAATTCATATGCCATAATTTTGTATGACTGACTAATGTCCCAGAAGTTTTGGTAAGACTGTCATAAATAATTATACATTCAGGGAACCATGCCAATACGCTGTGAAGGTACAATGTATTGTAATTGCCGGCGGTATCGAAAATTTCCATTACTGCCAATCGTTCAAAATATCAGGTGATTTGTTGCGCATAGGCGAAGAACCTTAATTTAAGCTGTTTAGATGGCTAAGGCTGGGCAAACGCGAATTTTAAATGTTCCTCATAATTGCACAAAACGTGATCATGCCCCTCTCAAACCAAATTACACTTAATATTGTACCCATTACTTTAGCTAGATTCGAAAGCTAAAATCAGAAAACGTTTGATTGTCTTGAAACTTCTGCTACCCGATGTTTCACAGAGTTTCTTCTCTTCGGACAGTGCGTCAATATCACCTTTGTTCCTGACTGCATACGGCCGGTCTTCAATGCAAAATCAACCCTGTTTATGAGCATCGTATTAGCAATAAGCGTTTCTTGCTTTTCTATTCTGAGAGCTTTTTAACTGTCAATGACAGGAAACCTTCATTGACTGATTACTGAATGTTTCAGTTTTGATCCCAGCTTTAAATGTCCAAACACTGATTGAATAGTTTGTGATTTATGCCTCTTCCATAGAAATTCGAAGGCTGTATGTCTATGCGCAATGGACGAGTGATGTGGTTTAATGGCGCCCTCCGTGAAGGACTTTTGTTTGGTTTCGAAATTTCAAATGAAGTACTCTTTATGACTTTCCAAGTAGCCAGTCACTGCAGGTCCTGGAGAGTGAGAATGGTCGAAATTAAAATGCGGAGCAGTTGCCTAACAAAAGAAAAAAATTGGTCAAACTTTTATCCCCGGTCTTACAGATTGCATAATAATGACAGGTGAATCATAATGCGTGTATTTACTGCTGTAAGTACTTTAATAATCATTCTTTTGGAATGTTTTTCAAGCCACGCCAGGTGATGGTTTCAGTCTCCTACTGACAGTTTTTACACAGCGATTACTGTCAGCAGCTGATTACTCGTGATTGGTTAATACCACTGCAAAGCAAGGACACGTTACACCAATCGTTATTGAATGGGCGGCGTAAAATATGCCGACAAAGAAACGTCGTAGCGGTAAGACGTTCATCCATTCACCCTACGCTTTCATGATTTGTAGCACCAGCCATTCCATGGAGTTTATGGATCGATGCCATCACTCAAAACTGAAACGTCTTTTGCCGTTACAGAATGTAACCTCCGTCTTCCGTCTGGCGTTTGGAGGCTCTATTATGTTTGTTTTGGAGGTACAAAAGCAAGTCTTACCTCTGAGCATTCGATTACAGCAACTTCTAGCTGTGAATCCAACTTCTCACCGATTGAACCCCGAATATAATAATTGGCTGATTGTCAAGTTAGCCTCCGTTTCAAGGCAGATGGTAGTAGCTTACGACTGCCGTTGCAGCATTAATGGATACCTGACATGGTGTGTGAACATAAAATTGTAAATACCATCAGAGAATCAATCAGAATCCTTGTGCTGATTCTTTAACTGTGGGATATGCAGGTTTGTCGATTAGACCGCAGGTTTCTTCAGCCAGTCTAGGGCGATCATGGTGCAGTGCATAAGACGCGTTCATGGCGTCACTGAGTCAGAACAGGCCAGCTTGTAGCTGCGGTGGAAACAAATTAAGTGCTCTTATAATCCAAAGATTGTTAACCCACGTGCATCAATTGTATACATATTGTAAGCTGTTCGCATCCCCGAGTATGCCAAATATGGAAGGACTCATTCATTCTCAATTTTCATGGCCTATTCGCCATCCTAAGCAAATGTGTGAGCCAGTGGTGTCGTGGGCCGGTAATATGGCGTGAAATTTGGTCTTCGAGGAGTCATCCGGTATTTCAATTGCATTCATATTCCATAGTGCACAAAGTGAGAGCTAAGTCAACATTATTATTGATCAATAAGAACAGATAATATAACAATCTAAAAGACGTACACACTGGAGAATTCGTCACATATATCATATGAACCAAATATTACGTCTACGTCACCGACCGGATTTCAGCGTCCTTCAACGGCTTTTCCAGGTTCGGCTGTGCAAACAGTTTGTATGCCAAATCATTTGGAAAATTTGCTTCGTCATTTTGCTGCATCATTTTGTCAGCTCCCTCAGTGATGAGATTTCTTTGTTTTCGAAACGCGCAGTTGGCTCCACAAGGCATGCCATATCCGCCAAGACTATTTAATCCTCCATAGCCACCGCTGATACCTGTGCCGCCATAACCTAATGTTCCGTAGCCGCTAAGCCCGCCAATACCTCCTAAGCCACTGATGCCGTAGCCTCCCATGTTGCCATATCCGCCGTAGCCTCCCATATTGCCATATCCGCCGTAGCCTCCCATATTGCCATATCCGCCATATCCGCCGTATCCGCTATATCCACCATATCCACCGTATCCTCCGCTTCCGTAACCAGTCATTCCCAATGAGCCACCGTATGGCATATTACATCCATAATATGACGGGTAGGTACTACATATGCTCGGGTATTGTGCCTATAAACACAAGCGTCTTTTAAGGTGACGTCATTACCTTTACAATTTGTTAAGCGGAAACTTTTAACGAACCAACCGACAAATGTGTCCTGTTCCTGCTCTGATCCCTTGAACAATGACGACGTTATAAAAT